CCCAGAGTTCATCGGTGGGCAGCGCCTCTTGATTGAAGACCGCATGGCGATATCAGGGTATTTCCGATATAGGTTGAAGTGCGACGCTCACGTCGGCTGCTCTCGAAGCCGAAACGCATTGGCAGCTCAATGCGCTGACTTCGGCATATACCAGGCTATTGCTTACCTAGCTGTGTGGCAAGAGATGAGCCGAGACTTGAGCAGAAATGAGCATCGGGAGCGGGGCTTGGAAATACCTCTGGAAGACCAGAGGGCGCGGTTGCAAGCGAATGGTCACCTTGAGCCTTGGCCCAAGGGGGAGACTGGGGCACGTCTGTGGAAAAAGACTCAAAACAATAAACGTGCAACAACATGGAACAGCTGGCAAGGAACGCGGTGAGAGCGCAATTGGTCTCCTCCTCGGCGTGGGCCCCTTTCGGAGCTGGAGCGCGTCGACGATCGCACTTCGTTGGGGGCCCACGATGGCCTCGGGGGCCCGATCTGTGCAGGCACTGTTTGGGCGGCCAGAGTCGAGCGGAAGGAGGGGTGAGCAGAGCTCCACCCCCTCATCTTCACCATTAATCGCCATGATCGCACTTAACGTCAGCAGCACCACTGACAGCAACATCAATATTAACTAACACCAACATCATCATCGTCAGCAACATCATTCGCCGTCATCGCCGTGCTAACTGTCATCGTCAGCATCAGCATCACCACCAACTCCCGTCTCACTGTTCGAGCAATTTGGGTCAAGTGTTGAGTGCAGGGTCTATCGTCCCTCCGCCAGCCGAGTCCTGCGTACGCCCAGCTCCAGTCTGAGTGGCAGCGTGCCAGATTTGCGGATCAGATGGTGCGGACCCAGAAGGAAAAGGACCTCCAGAAGGTCATCAAGGACAAGGACAAGCATATCAAGGATCCCCAGAAGATCGTCAAGACCATGATGAAGATCCAGATCCAGAGCCATAAGAGAGTCAGACAGTATATTCGGGGCGTCGACCAGGCGACTTACGACAAGCTCAAGGCCAAGTATGGCTAGGTTCCCACCCGAATGCCTTCACGGCCCATGGCCAGGGCCACGGTGAAGGCGGTGCAGAGGCAGGGTTAGTCGAGCAAGTGAGTTGAATCAACGATCGAGCCTTGCCAGGTCGGTAGTGCGTTGGCCTCCAGTCGCCGCTGCGTTCTCCCAGCGTGTCTCAGGAGCCCAGCCCGATGGGTTCTTTCGCTTCTATATTTATCAGTTTTGGGGATTGGCCGCCCAGAGAGCGACCTGCAGCTCCGCGTGAAAAGAACTCACTCGGTGCGCTACCAGGTGCATCTTCGCTCGTACTCAGACCCACTATTACTTAGGCAGCCTCGTGCGAGGAGCCCGTCCCGCTGATAGATACTTCTGTGCTGTGCAGCCTAACTCAGATGCAGACTCATTCGTATTCAGAAGAACACTCACACGCTCATGTTCACTCACACTCAGACAAAATAGAGTCTCATGCGGGATCCCACCGTTCGGGTAACGCTGCCTGGCATTTGCTTGAGTTCTTGTGTGTGTATTACAAGCTAGGGTGATACATATCTTGCTATCTTTGAGGCTCACGTAGCACTAGGACGTTACCAAAGGGTGTACAAATCATTCCAAATCACTCCAAATCATTCAGCATCACTCCCGAATCACTCCGACGCGCTCCCGAATCACTCAGGATCACTCCGGAACCACTCCGAATCACTCCGCACCCCGCCACTAATCACTCCGAACCACTCCAAATCACCCCACATCAGTCCAAAATCACTCCAAACCTGCTGGAGACATCTACTTGTTTGATACGTTTTCTTACTTTGTGTCATTCCCCACATGCTTCGCCGTGGGGTTCTAGTTTTCTTCCCTGCCGCGCCGCGCCCGCGTCTCACACACCTCCCGCCTCCTCACCCACACACTCGCACACAGCCGCACGCATGCACACATTCGCACATACAAGACGCATGTTCACTGCATCATACACCCAAGACGTCTGCACGACATACTGGGCAACACGTGAGATATGTCCCGATATGGCCGCACACGCATCATACACATACACACGGCAAGCCATGCGGCAGGCGAGCAGGCGTGGCACTTCCTCGACACCATAGGGGGTGCGCAGAGGGTGGTCCCTCAGCGGGGCCTCTATCCGTGACACGCTCGCAGGGCGTGGCAGGCGCGGCACTTTCTCGACACCGCTGGGGGGGCGCAAGGGTGGTCCCTCAGCGGGGCCTCTATCCGTGACACGCTCGCAGGGCGTGGCAGGCGTGGCACTTCCTCGACACCATAGGGGGTGCGCAGGGGGTGGTCTCTCACCGCGGCCGCTATGCACGACAGTCGTCCAGGCACAGCAGGCGTGGCACTTTCTCGACGCCACAGGGGGTGCGCAGGGGGTGGCGTCTGAGCGCGGCCGCTATCCGTGACACGCTCGCAGAGCGTGGCAGGCGCGGCACTTTCTCGACACCGCTGGGGGGGCGCATAGGGTGGTCTTTCAGCGGGGCCTCTATCCGTGAGACGCTCGCAGGGCGTGGCAGGCGCGGCACATTCTCGACATCGCATGGGGGTGCGCAGAGGGTGGGGGGGGGGGGGGGGGGGTTCCCTCAGTGCGGCCTCTATATCCCGTTACTACGCTCGCCGAGCGTGCAGGCGCGCACTTTCCTCGCACCAATGGGGGCCGCAGCGGGTGTCCCCTCAGCGGGGTTTTCTATCCGTTGACACGCTTCGCAGGGCGTGCAGGCGCGGCACATTTACTCGGGGGGGGGACCACCACATGCTGTGCGCATAGGGTGGTCCTCATGCGGCCTCTATATCCGTGAACACTCTCCAATATCGTGTCAGGAGTGGCCTTTATCGACGCCCAGGGTGAGGGTGCGCAGAAGGGTGGGCTCTCTCGCGGTCCCTCTATCCGTGACAGGCTCGCAGGGGGGGGGGGGGGGGGGGGGGGGGGGGGGGGGGGGGTGGGGGGGGGCGGGGGGAGGGGGGGGGGGGGGGGGGGGGGGGGGGGGGGGGGGGGGGGGGGGGGGGGGGGGGGGCCGTGGCAGCACCACAACTTTCTCGACGCCACAGGGGGTGCGCAGAGAGTGGTGTCCCTCAGCGCGGCCTCTATCCGTGACACGCTCGCAGAGCGTGGCAGGAGTGGCACTTTCTCGACGCCACATGGGGCGCGCAGAGGGTGGTGGTCCCTCAGCGCGGCCTCTATCCGTGACACGCTCGAAGATCGTGGCAGGAGTGGCACTTACTCGACACCACAGGGGGCGCGCAGAGGGTGGTCCCTCAGCGCGGCCTCTATCCGTGACACGTTCGCAGATCGTGTCAGGAGTGGCACTTCCTCGACACCACAGGGGGTGCGCAGAGGGTGGTCCCTCAGCGCGGCCTCTATCCGTGACACGCTCGCAGATCGTGTCAGGAGTGGCACTTTCTCGGCACCATAGGAGGTGCGCAGAGGGTGGTGTCCCTCAGCGCGGCCGCTATGCACGACGGTCGCCCAGGGAATAGCAGGCGTGGCACTTTCTCGACGTCATAGAGGGTGCGCAGGGGGTGGTCCCTCACCGCGGCTGCTATGCACGACGGTCGTCCAGGGCATAGCAGGCGCGGCATTTTCTCGACGCCATAGAGGCTGCGCAGGGGGTGGTCCCTCACCGCGGCCGCTACGCACGACGGTCGTCCAGGGCATAGCAGGCGTGGCACTTTCTCGACACATCGAGGGTGCGCAGGGGGTGTCCCTCACGCGACGCTGGCTGGCTCGAATCTGTCCTCGTCGGAGGATCGAAGGCTAGGAAGACGGGAGAGGTTCAAGCATATGGCGTTGATGGCTCATAAGGGAACTTCGCGACGAGGGTGTGAACAGATTGCGCATATATTTAAATTTCAAAATCAATATTTAAGTTAAGTATTGTGGGGTTCTCGATGCGTAATGGCGGTTCACAATGCTTGTGCATTCGAGTTTGCGTTGCGTTGCTCCACTATCCTTCCCATGTTGGCTCGCGTTGCGTTGCGTTGCTCCACTATCCTTCCCATGTTGGCTCGCAGGGTCAGTCCCCCCCCCCCCCCCCCAAATATACAATGTTGTTCTGTTTATCTTAGGCTGCGCGTAGCTCACATTACACCCGCATGCTCTAACCTGGGAGACTTTAACCCTACAGGCCCTAACCTGACAGACCCTAGCCACGGTACGGCGCGACCTACTTGGTCACCCTCCATGGATCTGTGAGTGGTACCACCGAACAGGCCCCTAAACCATCCCTAGAACAGCGTGGCACTATGAGGAGGGGGAGGAAGAGGAGGAGGAGGAGGAGAGAGCCCGCACCGTGAATCCGACATGACCCTGGGGAGACGACGAAGACGACGACGACGACGCCATCATACTTTCATCTTCCAGGCCAACGCTCAATCCTTCTGGACGATGAAAGTGCGATGGGAGCCGTGGGCCCATGGGAGCGACGACGACGATGACGACGATGACCAGGACGATGACGACGACGCCATCATACTTTCATCTTCCAGGCCAAAGCTCAATCATTCTGGAAGGTGAAAGTATGATGGGAGCCGTGGGCCCATGGGGGCGACGACGGCGATAACGGCGATGTCCACAACGACGACGACGACGTCGACGACGACGACGACGCCATCATACTTTCATCTTCCAGGCCAAGGCTCAATCATTCTGGAAGTTGAAAGTCTGATGGGAGCCTTGGGCCCATAGGAGCGACGACGACGACGGCGACGACCAGGGTGACGACGACGACGACGGGGATTATGATGTTGATGCTGATGATGATGATAATGATGATGGCGATGATGATGATGATGATGATGATGTTGATGATCATGATCATGATGATGATGAGAATCATGAGGAGAAGTTCGTTGCATGCGGGGCTTCTTTCATGGAGGGCCCTGGGGTCCAGGGACTCACCTTCTACTGCAGGTCAATCGGTCAACAGGGGACGGTCCCTCTTTGCGTAACTACTGCAGCCATTTTGGCTCGCGCGGGCATGCCGCGCTAGAGGCCGGCCCGCGTGCGCAGCAGCACTGGCGCGGCTTCCTCCGCGAAGGCAGATCCTTCGCCATGTCGGACAGCGACGAGGAGATCATCGTGCAGCACCTTGCAGAGGGTGATATCGCCGAGGGCTTCGTCACTCTGTCCTGCCTTCTCTGCCGCGTGGACGGGGGCGAGCGCGACTTCAGCAAGCACAAGAAGTTCGGCCTCGCCCCTCCACACAAAGCATGCTTCAACGCGCTGCAAGCACTTGGGCGCACCCTGACCTCTCGCCCCGATCTTAAGAAGAAGGTGATGTCCCTCTTGGCCGCGGACCCAGAGAAGTTGCGGGCTATCGCGCTGGCGATGTTGAATAAGCATAAGCACGGCAGGAGAACGCACCAGCGCGATCACGTGATCGACTTCTGCGAGGAGCTGGTGGAGACGGACGGCCTGTTCACGAAGGAAGAGTTCGTCTACTTGCGCAAGCAGGCTTCCGTCCAGTGGTTCAAAGTGAGGGAGGGCTTGTCGGACGAGGAGGCGTTGCAGGCATGGGATGGTGAATGACATCAATGACCCTGGTGTTGAGAAGAAGAAGAATCGGAAGGGGCAGACGACCGTGGCCGCCGAGAAGCCCGTCGTGGTCGAGCGCATCAAGGGCACGTCGCAGCAGACGAAGTACGCATCTAAAGTGGATAAGCCGTCTTCGAGCGCCTTGGGTCTCCGCGAGAAGCACGGCCAGGCTATATGTATGTTCAGGCAGGGCGTTTCGGCAGGTGCGAGGGCGAGGAGCTCGTCGGCGCCTGCGGCCTCACCACCAGCCTCAGCGCGGCCCCCTGCGAAATCACGTGGACCAGGGACGAAGGAGAAGCGACCGAGGAGCAAGAGCAGGAGCCAGAGCAGGCGGACCAGCGCCAGTAAGAGGAGCCGGGTGCCATCCACGCTGGAGCGCAAGCGCCGGCAGAGACCCAAGTCCAACTGCGACTCGGCCGACGACGACGACGACGAGGAGCTGCCAGAGGAGCCAGAGGGCGGCCTGGCCGCCACCGCCGAGACGGAGCCCGAGCCCTTCGTTGAGCTCAAGGGGAAGATGCCCATCTCTAAGTTCCTGTCCGCCAAGCAGAAGTTCGGAGTGCAGTTCAAGGAGAGGTTGTCGGCCATGGGCGTCTACAAGAGGGGTGACATGTTCAACGTTTCCGACAAGGCTTGGGCGAAAGTCCAAGGTTGTGATTGCGACCTCGATGGCGTCGACTACGCGACGGTGACGCAGGCGCTGACCAGCGCCATCACGAGCTGCAAGAAGGAGTGCGACGACACCAAGAAGTACAACCAGAGCATGAACTTGGAGGAGTGCCAGGCCCAGGCGATCAAGAGCATCGAGACGCTCGAGGTCGCGCGGACAAACTTCGACGAGTGCGTGGCGGCCATGCAACACATCAAGAGCGACATTCAGTCCGTCGCAGCCGAGGCCAGCCGCAAGAAGTATGCTGCCATCAATCGTGTCGCCAAGATGTTCGAGCAGCACATGGCGGCTGAGCCCCTCGCCAAGGCTTTCGCGGCGTGCTTGCGCGACGCCGAGGACACCAGGGGGGGGGGGAGGGGCAGGGGGGGGAAGAAGAGGAGGAGGAGGAGGGAGAGGAGGACGGAGGAGGGGGAGGAGAGGAGGAGGGAGGAGGAGAGGAGGAGGAGCAGGAGGGAGGAGGAGGAGGGGGAGGAGGAAGGGGAGGAGGAGGAGGAGGAGGAGGAGGAGGAGGAGGAGGAGGAGGAGGGGGGGGGAGGAGCCGCCCCAAGCCCCTACCAGCGAGGACACTTTGAAGGACAAGGGCAAAGTGCTCGAGTTCAAGGACTCCGAGTCTCTTGACCTTGGTTCTCCGGTGCGGACGAATGAGAAGATCATCGGTTGCGTGCTCGTGGATATCATCAGGAAGGTCAGAGATGATAATGACACGAAGCTGGGCAGGAATATCGAGAACCTCAAGAAAAAATGACAGGGAAAGCGGCCATGACCTTGGATAAGGCGGATGGCCTCGACATCGACAAGATCACGGAGGAGCTCGAACTCTGCGAGGCCGCCAAGAGCATGTTCATGAAGCCCTTCATTGTGGTCTTGACTCCCTACTCGTGGTCGTGGGACCTCAACAGCGTAGCGTTCCCAGGCGTCGCATTCTGTTCCATGGTGCTCGAAGGTAAAGTGTGCTACCTGCTGGTGCCGATTGCGCTCTTGACCAACCATGGCATGACGTCGCTCAGCTCTTTCGACCAGTTCATGGCAGCCCTGCCGCGCGACAGCCGCAAGACCTTGCTCGAGCACGAGACCTCCCATCGCGCAGTCCTGGACGTCGGGGACATCATGTACGCCCCCTTCGGCTTCGTGCCGATCGTATTCGGAGTTGGTGACAAGAACGAGAAGGAGCCCCCGAAGTCCGTGATCTTGACGATTCCAATCTACCAGAAGGCGTTGAGTTCGACCATCGCCGACGAGTCGCGGATGGAGATCTTTCGTTACATCGAGGCCGGCCTGTCCAAGCAGTCGCACGTGAAGACGCGGCAGTCGGCCACTGGCCCGATGACTGAGTGGATGGCCAGATTCGCGGCCTCGTCTTGAGTGCGGTGCGATCTCAAAACAAAGTGAGCCTCCTGTCAGTTATTGTTTTAGGTGATTGCAGCAATGCTATGAGGCGAACCTCGGAGACGACCGAGTTCTCAGAGATTTCTTGAGCGCGCAGGGGAAACATCAGTGGTTGAAAAAAATAACATGAGCACGCAGGGTTGAACAATCCAGGGTTCAAACATGCACTAATCTGAGAATCCACGTCTGAAAACGTCGGCATGATAACAATTGCGTTGAAACAAAGCCAAAGAGGGAGGAAGGAGGGAGGAGGGAGGAGGGAGGAGGACGGAGGGAGGAAGGAAGGAGGGAGCAGGGAGGAGGGAGGAGGAAGGAGGGAGGAGGGAGGAGGGGGGAGGGAGGAGGCAAATGACGGAGGAAAGATGAGGGAGGAGGGATGAGGGATGTACGGGAAGGGCCCGCCCGTGACCCAGCAGGGCTCGAGTTGCCCGTTCTTCTTTTTGGGAGGCGTCCCTTCGGGCCTTCGGAGCTGCTGGCCATGGCGGTTCCTCAGAAGGTGGACCTGTTTGCTGGAGGGAACATCTATATGCCGACCCCGCAAAAATATGCGGCCCTCCGTGCCAAATGTGACCGTGAGCAGAAACGTCTCTCGATACGGCGCCTCCTGATCAATGTCATTGTTGTCGAGGACTCAGACGAGGACGCCGAGAATGGCGACGACGCCAAAAACGACGGCGACACCACGAGCAAGCACCCCATCGACCTCTGGCTCCACCCCGACCCTGTTCCTGTTCCCACTCCTCGGAAAAAATCTAGATCTCGGATGGAGGTTTCGAGCCCCGTGGTGAAGCCCAGGCGCCGCGTGTTGCGGAAGGTGGCCTGCGGCCCAGGCGCGTGGATCCCGTGGATCAGGAAATCCAAGGTGTGAGAGTGAGGCGTCTGCCATTTAGGATTCGTGCATGTGTCGATTGCTGCGTTGTGCGCCAACATGTGGGATTAGTAACGCTCAGTGGGCTGGGCCTCTAGAGAAAATGCTTCACTTGGCTGCCATATCGGTGCCGTGTCGATGCTTTGCGAAGTGGGGCATTGCCAGACACACCCTTCGTTATCGTATCGATGGTCTCGGGGGTAGGAATGCAACGAGGGTGTGGTTCATCAGAGCAAGATTCAAGTGCCTTCGGCAATTCCCGCCGCCCTGCCAGCTCAGCACTCTGACCCCCGCGCACATGGCATGTGTGTGGGGGTCAGCGCACGAAGATGACGGTAACGACCACGATGGTGATGACGAGAACGCTGATAATGAAGGTGATGATGATGATCATGACGATGATCATGATGATGGTGATGCTGATGACGATGACGATCCGTTCGAGGTTCAAGGCGGCAACGCCGTCGCCTGCCCGCTGGTGGGCGAGCGAGCTCCGACGGCCCGCCAGGGTCGCGAGATAGTCTAGACGGGGCCCCAGGAAGGCCCCAGGAAGGCCACGAGTGCGCCCTGGAAACACCCCTGATGTTCACAACCTCCAGTGGTATCTCAAACACCCTCAGGCCCCTCCTTCCCCTGTCGGTGGAAGGCATTGCACTAGCTGGCCTCAGCGCGATATTTCACGTAGTAGAGCAGACCATGGCGTTTCGGATGGGCCGCTTGCGTATTGAGTCTAGTCTTCGTTATCATTGTCGATTGCAGTCCGGGATCAATTCGATCGAAATCTGGTCGGGCTACACCCTTTCTCGCGGGAAGTTAGCGGGGGTGGCACGCACTGCGTGACACGGAGGGTGCTCTGGGGAGTCGGAATGTCGCCGTAAGCGTGGGCATAACTTTATCATCGCGGTTGGCTTCCCAGGTGGGTGGTCAGCCCCATCGCGATCGTTTGTCATCACGCACGTTCAGGTATTCACATGCACTTCGTGCAACTAGGGATTCAAATAATTGCTGGTGCAACATCTTTCTAAAAGAAAGAAACCGAACAAAAACACTCCAGAATCATTGGAGGCGAGGCGGGAATCACTCAGAATCGCTTGGGCCCCCCCAGGGCCCTCGGGGCCCCTCCTAACCCCGAGTTGTCCGTGCGCGCGGACTTAACAGTGGCGGCATGCGTTCGAAAGGGAGGGGTTTCGTGCAAGCCTGTTGTGGTCGGGCACGTTGGCTTACAGTGTCCCGGCGCCAGCTCTGGCCCACCGCGCTTCGGCGCGACATGCTATCCGCGGCCCAGTGTCCATGCGTCAACGCTCCAAGCCTTTTCCTGCCCCAGCCTCCCTCACCCCGGAGCGGAGCAACACGCTATCCGCTTGCAGTGCATAGCGTACCGCCAGGGCCGCCGCCGCGACACGCTAAGCAAACGTTTTCGACCGCCACTGTAGCAGAGTTCAAGTAACCCTGTGCCGATGACAAAAGCGGACCCCCCCCTTTACACGGTAGAGTTGATGATCCACGGCCAAGAAGAGTTTGGTCAGGGGCGCGGGGCGCGGAGGCCGAATTTTTCATCACTGTGAAAAGTTCACCATCGAGGTTGACTTCCTTCTTGTGTTGAGATAGCAACGTCAAACGAAGCGAAGACGTTACCGAGGATGTTTCAAGCGAAACCAACAGCGTTCTCTTTATCTCTCTCTCTCTTCTGTCTGCGTTTCTCTTTCTCTTTCCGTTTCCTCCCCCCTGCCCTTCTGAATTTGTTTTCCGTTGTGGTTCACTATCCACGAAAACCGAGGCACGTGAGCTACCCTACACGAGCAGATGCAAATCTGAATTTCCATCGTTTGCTTACAAATTTAATTTAATAGGTTTGGAACTTTGGCGTTTCTCCTCCTCCTCCACCTCTCTTCCGCTGTCTGTCTATTTTTCTCTACTTCTGGGATATCGATCCTCGATCCTCGGACTTCGATTCTCGATCCTCGATCCTCGGCTTTCGGTCCTCTTAACATCATTTCTTTCTCCTCCCACATGCTGGCCTCCGGTAGGCAACATTTACAATCCCCCCGCGATCCCGAACTTTATTATCCCTGTGGGATTAATCTCGGCAGCACACGGTTAAAGGTCCTTCCTTGATAACCGGGCGTTGCAGTTTCTGTTCGCCACGGACGTTTTCGACGGATTTCGGGTTCAGGGGCCCTCAAAGGTCGGCCTGGCTCGAGGCATGCCGCAGAAAGATGGGATCTAGGACTTTGGTCGTGATTTTTAGCGATGCTGCAATTTGTTCGTAGCGTCGGATAACAGGGTTGTGGTGCTTGGCGCCAGGCCAACGCAACTCTGGTTGAATTTGCTTGTCTCTCTGGGTGTTCAGGCTAGCGGCTAGCAGTCACGCCCGGCAGTCGTGCAACCTGGGATCTCGCCGTCCTTTTCATCCTTCTTGAAATGAAGGGGTGAAGAGGGTTGGGCGGGAGTGATTATCGCGGCGGCCAGTCCGAAGGCGAATCTAAAAATGGCCCAGCCGGCAGGCGGGATGCTGCGACGGCAGCGCGTAGGCTGGGAGTCCCGGGTCCGTTTCTCTTCGGGGCGGTCTGTGCACTCGGGGGAGGCATGCTGACGGGGTGCGTCGGTCTAGACCCGCGCTGCATGCTGCATGCACTCCTATTTCTCCTCCTCCTCGTGCTCATTCTGTTCCAGTGGGGTGCTACGACAGTGTCGCCTATGAGGAGAATCCTTGAGGCCTCGCGCAGCGCGCAATAATTGTATCATCTAGTCAACACGTCCCCCCCGTAAGATATGGATCGACGTTCGCGGGGCGATGTTCGACGCAAGTCCGACGCGAACCCGACGTAAATTCAACGCGGATCCGACGTCTCAAGTTTCCGCACCAGGCCCCAAGGATGTTCCTCATAACGTCGTGTAAGCTGGAGATCCTGAGTTCGGCGTCGCCCAAACATACTCGTACTGTGTGTGCGTCGCCCCCAAGGGGGCGACACGCGCGCTCAGGAGTCTTCTAGTCTATGCTCGGTCGCTGTCTAGCCATGCCGCCAGGGGCACGGTATCATCCAAGACTGCTGTACTGCATGATCCTCGGTGGAGGCACGCCTCCGAGGAAGATGCGTCCTGTGCGTCTCTTCATCTTCCAGGGGGAGGTACAGTCATGGCGCTGAAATGAGGTACAGTTCCACTTTGGAAGGAACTCGGTGGTTCCTTGGGTCTGCTTGCGTTCTCTCGCAATGTTGCTGGGAAGCCCGCTTCTTAGGCTGCGGCAGAGAGGGCGGGGCCATTCTCAAAACAAGAGGCAACGACGAGGGAACGCCTCCAAAGGAGGCCCGGCCGCTCCTCAGGAGTGCATGGCCTGGTGTTGGAAAAAGTGGGCACGCTCTCCCCTCAGCGCTCCTCTGGGAAGTGCCATGACCGTATTCCACTGGCAGCGGGCAGCAAGCGGCGCGTCGGCGGCAGGCGCCGGCGGGCTGCCCGCGCCGCGCCTCGCCGGCAGGTGCGCCCACGGCAGCGGCGCAGGCGCCCGCGGAGAGGGCGGCGGAGCATGGCGGCGGCGAGGACGGGCAGCAGGGGAGGGGCAGCATTAGGGGCTTCGCGTATCCCCACCAGCCCATTCACAAACTCCGCCCATGAGAGCGGCTGGACAATTGGGCGAAGAGACACATAATGGTGGAAGAAGCGAGCAACCAGGGATGACACCGAAAGAGAGAGAGAGAGAGAGAGCTCTGGAGCAAGGGAGTGGCTGTCTGGATTTTGGATTGCCATACTACAAAGTAAGGATGAACCATTTTCCAAGGTTGCCCCTGCATCCTTGCCCCTTCGACCCATCCTTGGCGACTTTCGCTGGCCAGCCCCGTCCAGAAAGCATCAACATGGCCTTCCAAGGCCCTTGCATCCTTACCGCGCATCCTTTTTACGCGTTTTGATTGTAGCGTGTCGCGTGATTGGTTCTGGCCCACCACGCTTCTGCGCGACACGCTAGCCATTTTCCAATCCCGCGCGTCAAACCGTCCCGAGCTTTTCCGAGCCTACCGCCCATTGGAGCGGAGCGACACGCTATAGGCTTGCAGGGCATAGCGTATCACCGGGGCCACCGCCGCGACACGCTAAGCAAAAGTTCTTGACCGTAGTGGGTCCTGGAAACGACAGGGCAGCTTATTTTCCGTTTAGTGTTTCAGTGTTTTACCGTCTCCAGCGCAGTTGTTGTTGGCATTTCTGGCGCCGTCATGTTCTGCCGTTCTCTCGTTTCACTTGGTGGGGGCTTGGTCCAGACTACAGTTTTGCCACTGGATCCGAGCCGTGTTCGAACGGGTCCCGAACGTCCTCGGATGTCCAGATTGCCCATTTATCTCGTTTCGGTGAATGGTTTTTGGTTTACCGTTCCGGTGAACCGCCTTTTGCCGCTTTCAGGATCAAGAAACAGTTGGGGTGAAAACGGTATTCGAAAACAAAACAATTGTTGCTCCAGGGCCCACTGAGGTTACGGGTCAGGGGGGGCATGGGCTCAGGGGGAGACGCATCGACCCCCAATCGCTAATTCATCGCCGATGAGGGGCTGATAGCCTTCCTCGCCCAGCAGCGTGCGGTTTCGCTATCGAGGGCCTCTCTCCGATTTGTCGGCAAAGTCTCGTCGACTACAGCTCGATGTTTCCCCCCTGAACCAGTCACCCGTCAACGTGGCCCCTCAAGGAGGAACGAGGAGGAGAAAGGAGGCAGCAATCAGCCTCATGCCTCGGTGGGAGAGAATCAGCGAGAGAGAGAGAGAGAGAGAGAGAGCGAGCGAGCGAGCGAGCGAAGAAGGGGGGGCGAGCGGGGGGGGAATGCGGATGATGACGAGGAGGATGAGGAAGGATGAAAGAAGGGAAGAGGATGAGGAACACATGTTCGTCTTTGATCGTTTCTTGACGGTCCCTGGGCCCGGAGACGGTCCCGTGGATGCCGAGATTGAGGGAGGACCGCCGACGTTGAACAGATGACGACGTCGGAGGTCCGGGGAGCGATATTGCGGCTGCCAGACATGTAGAAGTGGGGGACCTTCCCCCTCCCCTCCCAGGGGGGGCACCGTCTTTCGGACGGCCAAACATTCAACTCTTGATCGGAGGCGTTTTCGCATCGTCGATGTCTCCCTCCTCGCTGCGTCGTCGTCCCCGGCATTGCCTCGCCCCCCACTCTTCCCCTTTGTGGGCACTTTTTTGTCGTCGTCTCCGCTTTCGTTGTGTTTTCGTCCCTGGCGATGCGCCTCCCCCCTAGCAGATAACGAGTCCTCGTTGTGATTATCGCCGTCGCCTCCCTCCTCGTGACGAGCGCCGTCTTCTCCGGCGGTGCGCCCCCCCTCCTTGCGGGCATTTGCTCGTCGTCGTCTTCGTCGTCCGTGTCGCTCGTGGGCGAATACATCCGTATCCGCGGTCTCGCGTGCCAGGCCCTTGGGCCGCGACCCCGCGGATACGGGGCGTTTTTGTTCACGGATGCCCCGCGCGGAACGTATTCGTGCGAGCACGTATCCGCTGGGTCGCGCCCCGGAATCCAGAACGCGAGGGCGCGGATGCGGATGTGCTCGCCGCTCGTGATTTGCGCCGCGCCCCGCGCCCCGTGTTCTCATTCCCCCGGTGCGGCCTCCTCCGCGAGGTCGCCCCGCCGCAGGCGCCGCCGCCGTCGCTGCGCAGACCGCACCTGGGGGCCTCGGCCGCGGCCTCAGGACGACGAGTCGTCGGAGGAGCACAGGCTCCTGGCATCGCTCGGACGTGTGCATTTTTTCTCGGCGAGGGCGATCGAGGAGCATCCTTGATCATTTGGCGAAAAAACCACACACGAAACCGAAAAAAACACGGGGAATGGACGTCCGAGCGATGCCAGGGGCTCCCTCTCGCTGCCACTGAAACTGCGCATTGTTGGGAGTCGAATTCGATGTCAAAAAGCACGAGGGAGCCATGTGCTTTTCGACAGCGAGCTCGGCGTCCCAAAGCACGCAGCTCTCTCAGGCTTCTTTGGACGTCGAGATCAGCATCCAGAAGCATGCAGCTCTCGAAAGAAAATATACAATACGCATAAACTCTCGGAGGTCCGCGCGGATGTGGGTTCGGCGTTGGGGCCCCCCTGACGACACATCTGGCGGCGCCTCTGGCGCCGTCCGCGCGCCAGGGAGAGGGGTCCAGAGCCGATCTAAGAGATCCGCGCGGACCTCCGAAAGTGCATGTTCCGTGAGATTCGGCGTCGCAAATATATCTGCAACATCGCAGAAATCACGGCTGGAGCCCCAGACCCCATCCTGTTGCTGCACACTTCAAGCCAGATCGACCCGAGAGGACCCCTGAGCCCGAAGCCCAGCGAAAACGCCGGTGTCGAACAAACAGACAGAACAGCGACGGCCGTTGTTTGACCGCTCTCGGCCGCACGGCTCGGAATCGAGAGGCCGGCGTCCAGGGAGGAGGTCCAGCTCTCTTCAGAAGGGGGAAAACACAGACAAAATGAATCGCCGATCCCCAGGAAAATAGAGAAAAATATGGGAAGTTGGGGGAGCACGAAAACTCAGAGAATATGGGAAAATATGGGGAAGCTTGGGATTTGTGTGCATTTATATATATATATATATATATATATATGTGTGTGTGTGTGTGTGTCCTTGGGCCCCTTCATCTTTGGGGGTGGGCATGCTTCGGGGGTCGCAAAATGTGTCCCTGGCCAGAGGTACCCCCAGCTTTCGGCTCCAGTTTGAAGCCCCCTGGGATCCCTGGGCCTCGTGAGGGGAGAGTTGAAGGCCGGTGAGGCCTCCTTGGAAATCCTGGGGGCACCTTGGGCAGGGGCACTTCTATCAACACCCGAATGCTACGAGAAAGCTGCGGCGTCGGGAGTCTGAGGTCGGAACGTCGCGAAACAGACACGGCGATGCGGCTCGAGGAGCGCCGCGGAGAGATGGGGTTGAGAGCTCTTGTCCTGATGCTCCATTACGTTGTGGGTTTTCACGACTTTGGGCCCAGGGGAAGAATGATCACCACCACCATTGGTCGGCGGCGAGGGAGGGTGGGAAGTGAGAAGCAGAAGGCCCTCGCAGAAGGCGTCGGAGCATCTGAGAAACCCTCGCTCCTTCTGAGAAGTCTCCTGCATCTTCAAGGAAGGCTTAGGAAACTTCTCAGAAGGCCGGAGGACTTCCGAGCCTTCTGAGAAGGCCCGCCCCTTCTCATTTCCCCCCCTGGCCCCCCGCCAATTCACGACGTCGAACCCAGGGGAAGGATGATCACTACCACCCCTTGGGGCGCGGGGGGTCAGGTCAGAGGGCGGTGAGGGTGGTCGACGTTTGTTCGGGCGCTTCCGTTGGCATCCTGCAAGCCTGCAGTCCACATCCGTGGGTCCGACATCTGAGCCGTGAGTCTACGAATCTGGACATCGACGCCTCTCGTGACACGGATACGTGTGCCAAGCCGTTGGTGCTAGCAGCTTATACGGACGACGAACTAGACTGCCCTTCTAGCGCTTGTATCTTGTGAGGCCATTGGACGGTCAGATGAACGGCGTGCCGATAAAGGGGGGAAGTTGCGCTTCGAGCAGATGGCCTTCGGAAGGCTTCCCATATCCAGGGCTAGAAGAAACGCTTCCAGGAATCTCATCATTATCGCCTCAAGGGTGCGCTCCTGCCTTCTGTAAGCTCCCCCGCTCTCTTGACCCTCGCGCAAAGTCCAGAGGGTGGGTTCATGCGCGTCTGCACACGCACTGGAGCACCGACCACCGAAACGGTCGGCGAACCCTGCATGGGCCGTCGAAACGGAGACGTGAGGCGTTCCACAGAGGGCCTCGCCTTCGGCACGCCTCGCTCTCGGGGCAAGCCGGCGGACGGCAGGCGCGGAAGCCGACAGAAGCAAGTGGCGGCGGGTTCGCCCGCGGATGTCCGGCGGAAGTAGAAGCGAGATGTCCACGTGTCTGGATTTTGGGGTTCCGGAGTCGGCCACACGGGCTCGTCGTGTGAGTTCCAAGGCTTTCCACAGAGTGCTACCTCGAAGATATTTTTGCAGGCTGGGGCTGGAGGGGAACTACCGGTGCTTCCGAGTAGCGAGAGCATGACGGCAGAGGCCATTTCTGCGAGCATTTGGGCACTAAGGCCAAGCGGATGTTGCATTCCGCCGTAAGGCCAGCGTTTTTGTTGCGGTCTATCTCTGTATCTCTCTTTTGCTACCTCTTGCTCTCTCTCTCTCTCTGTCTCTCACTCTCCTTCTCGCTCTCTCTCTCTCTCTCTCTTGGCATCGGACCCAGTTTGCTCATCATCCTCACCCTCCTCCTCCTCCTCCTCCTCCTACTCCCCCTCCGGCGCCTCATTGAATTGGTCCCCCTTGGCGGGAAGGACAGGGTCATCCCGATTTGATCGATCCTTTTTGATCTTGGTTTCGGCAAGCGCGATTAGAATGGATGTTGAAGTGACGACGATCCGATGCGGCCCGATGCTCTGCATGGCGCTGTTGTGGATCCTGGTACGGCCGACCCGATTCGATTTCGATTCCGTGTCGATGCAGTCCAATCCGGCAGGAATTCCGATTCGATCCGATTCCCGATTCGATGTTGATTCAAATTGCCCTTGGCGGGAAAGGAAGATGCAGCAGCGTTTCGTGTCTCCTCTCCAGCCAGCCTGCGAGGACCACTCCCCTCCCCGCAAGCACAGATGCATTTCCTCGCCAATTGGTTTGTCAATCGGAGAAGGAGGAGAACGGAGAAAGGACCAGCGCGTTGGGTGTGTGTGCTGAATTGGGTGGTGGTACACACTCGCGCCTGCGTACCCCATGCCGGTCCAAATTGGCGGGACTCGCATTGGTGCCCAATGCTGTGGTTTTCTACCGTCGTCATCCCTCCTCCCTCTTGTCGCAATTACACTGTCGATTTGTTCTTCAGGCCACGGTTCATAGCATGAGTTTGCCTAATGCAGGTCGGCTTGTGCGGTGTTATTTGTTTGCCTAGCGGCCTTTCGATTCGCGATGTGGTCGTGCAACCAGTGGTGTTTTGCATGGGCATTGGAAGCTTTTTTTCAGGGTCCAGCGATAACCCGGTTATCGGGCTCGCCCCCCGTCTCCCCAGATAGTTTCACCCAATCGGTTGAGCAGGTCCAGACATATTTTTAGGCGCCCGCATCGTCGCAGCACGAACCGTAGCATCATCGCAGCATCGTCAGCAGCTGTAGGGGCCACAGCACTGGTGCGCGCGTGCTTTTGCGGGGTTGTCGACAGAGCGAAGGTTAGGTTACCGGCCGGCCCCTCCCCCCCGAGATAACCTGGATTATCGCCGATCCACAAAAAATGGCCATTTGTTTGCCCATTCGTTCCTTTTGTTTGCCCATTTGTTTCTTGCGATGTGTTGCTGGCCCCCGCCTCCAGAGGCACGCAACCATCTTCTCCACGCCGCCGAACGCCGGCCTCACCGAGGCCAGCCTCTCTTCTCGTTCTTTCGCCTCAGCGAGCGGCGTTCGCCTGCGAGGCCGCAGCGCGATCACCAGAGCGGCCGAGAGTGGCACTGTAGCCGAAGGCCCTGTGGTGCGCCAGACTGCACCGCGCCCGAGCGACGCGGGTGCGCGAGGTCGGGTCTTGACCGCTTCGCGGTGGACATATCGAATAACAGGTCGACCTACCAGCAGGAGCCCCTCAGAGATCTCTTTTCCCCCGACGGCCCCCGGAAGCCACATGAGCTCCGGGGCACATAATGGCCCTCATAGATCGACGAACATGTGCCCCAAGATTTTTCCCAACCCTCCTGTGTTCGGTTCTCCGTTTTGGCAGAGCATTGTGGTCTCCACCTCTCCTCTCCTCTCCTGCCCTCCTCCTCCTCCTCCTCCTCCTCCTCCTCCTCCTCCTCCTCCAGCGCTGCTCCCAGGTTGGCTGCAACATGCGCAACTGTCACCACTTTCGTGGGCTCCTGGGAGGTCCAGCGGAATCAGGACACGCGGACCCAGATGGGACTTCGCGGCTCCTTGGGTGTTTGCGAACTGCGCAACTGTCACCACTTTCGTGGGTTCCTGGGAGGTCCAGCGGAGTCGGGGCCACGCGGGCCCAGACTGGACCTCGCTGCTCCATGGTTGGCTGCGACCTTGCGCAATTGTCTCAATTTTCGTCGGCTCCTGGGAGGTCCAGCGGAGCCAGGGGCCACGCGGACCGCGACGGGTCTTCGCTGCTCCCTGGGTGGTTGCGAACCGCGCAATCGTCACCAGTGTCGTGGGCTCCTGGAAGGTCCAGCGGAGTCGGGGGCCACGCGGACCCAGACTGGACCTCGTTGCTCATTGGGTGGCTGCTGCGAACTGCGCAAGTGTCACCATTTTTGTGGACTCCTGGAAGGTCCAGCGGCGTCTGGGGCTACGCGGACCCAGACGGGACCTTGTTGCTCCGGGGGCAGCTGCGATCTGCACAAGTGTCGCCACTTTCTTGGGCTCTTGGGAGGTCCAGTGGAGTCGGGGGCCACGCGGACCGCGACGGATCTTCGCTGCTCACTGGGTGGCTGTGAGTTGCGCAACTGTCACCACTTGGGGCACCAAGGCGGCCCAAGAGGCTTCGAAGAGGTGGACGCCAAACGGCTCGGCGAGTCGCACCGCGGCGATGGGCGCGGCGCGGCGACATGGCGCAGGCAACGCTGCACCCTTAACGCGCGACCGACAAACGCAACATTCTTCGGCATCCTCCCGTCGCTTTCGCTGTCGTCCTCTGCCCCCTACCAACTTTCCTCTGCTGCTGCAGCGGAGTCGGGGGGGACGCGGACCCAGACAGGACCTCGCTGCTCCATGGGTGGCTGCGAGCTGCGCAATTGTCGCCATGTTCGTGGGCTCCTGGGAGGTCCAGCGGAGTCGAGGGCCACGCGAACCCAGATGGGATTGTGCTGCTCCTTGGGCTGCTGCGATCTGCGCAGCAGGCTCCATGTTCGTTGGCTCCTGGGAGGTCCAGCGGCGTCGCGTGCCACGCGAACTCAGACAGACCTCGCTGTTCTGGTGGAGAAGAAAGGAGTGTTAAGTCAACGAGGAGGAAGGACCCGGATCTAGAAGCGTGGCCCGCGCTGGGGCGAGAGCGCCAGACTGAACGATGGGAGCAAACCGTCGATCGGGAAATTGCCCATGCTGCAACGGGAGCGTCATTCTGGAATGACCGAAAAAGTTCGGATTGAACAACACATAATACAAACATTAGCACGCGCCAACCCTGTGTAGAAAGTCGTGCGTGGAGGGGGCGCGCTACTCTCAGCGCGTCTTCGGGGGAGAGGTGGGAGTATTTCTCTCGCTTCGCGGGGTGCACGTCCTGAGCACGTTCAGACTGGGCGTTGGGTGGTTTGCCCTGCTCGTCTGCCGAGAAGTTCTGCCGTGTCGTTCTGCCCGCCCCAGGGCGCTGCCAGCGCCACGGGGAGCGGATCCGTCCCCCCCGGTTTCAGCGTTGGGACGAGCGTGCGAATGTCCACGAGGGAAGCGAGCATTCACCGCGTGCCAGCATAAGACAACGCGAAGTCAAACTTCCGATGAGCATAGCAACAGCGCGCCATTTGTAAACAATGTTGCGGGCCTCTTGGTGGTTTCTTTGGGCCGTTTGGGGGCTTCGTTTGGGCATCTTGGAAGCTTCTTGGGGGGGGCCTCTGGAAGCCTCTTGGGGGCTCTCAGGGCCTCTTGGGGCCTCTTCGTCCGTCTTGAGGCGATCTTGCGCCGTCTGGACTCTTCGGAGGCCGTCTTGGGGGCCTCTCGGGGCCGCTTTGTGGCTCTCTTGGGGTCCTGACGGGCCGTCTTGGGGCCGCTTGAGCCTTCCTGGGGCCTCTGTGGGTCGTCTTGGAGCCATGTTGGATCGTTTGGGGGCCCCCTCGCGGGGCTCTGCGGCCGTCTTAGAGGCTGCTTGAGCTGTTATGGGCCACCGAAAATCATAAAAGGCGAGAACGAACAGACCTGCAAACCCGTAAGAAAATCAATGTTTTGGCCTCTGGAGGTGTTCTTGGGGGCCTCCTTGTGGCCCTCCGAGGCCGTCTTGGGAGCTTCTTGGGCCCTCTTTGGGCCATCTTGGACCGTCTTGGGGCCGCCCTGGGCCCTCGGGAAGCTGCGTTGAGACGCCTTAGGGCCCTCTTGGGCCCCCCAGGAGCCCTCAGAGGCCGATGTCATGGATGTGGCATACGTGTGGGTACGCTGTAAGGCCCCCAAACGGGATTTGCCATCTTAGTCCGCCAATGTGGCGCGACTCCAGGGGGGGTTATTGGGAGACATGGTAACGCAACAGAACACAATGTGTAACAAGTGTGTAATATTGGATACATTGAACACGTTGCGTCAAGGCGTTCGCCAAACAAATCGCTGCCGCTCAGCACGTCATGGCCCGGACGATGGGCCTGAACCAGGCAGGTCCAAGAGCCCCGGCCGAGGATCTTTAGGCCATCACAATGTTCTTGTATTGGGGTGCGCCCCCTGGGGGAACAGTTCGTCCTGGCCAAGGTGCTCCGTCAAAAGAGGGAAGGTCCCTTGTGGTACGGCCTGGAAATATGGGAGCGGACCCACAATGGCAACGTCTATCTGGTCGGGCCGCCCTTAAGCTCTGCCCGCCCTATTCCTCACCCAGCCCGCGAGCATTCGGCACCTAGGGTACAGCCCTCACGGTCCTCCTTCATAGTCGTAGGGATGATAACCGCCCCCATGCGTACCAACCCAAACAACTCATCTGGTCATGACCGTGCTTTGCGTTGGTGATATTATCCCTGATGAAGCTAAGGTGCATCATGATGAAGCAAAGATCGATCATGGAGCCAACACCTATCATCATAAGCAAAGATTTGCAATGACGATGATTACCATGAGGAGGAAGTTTTGGGGGCCCTCCGCGACGACGACGACGACCGAGACGGCGCGCGCCCGCATGCAGACATCACCACTGAGCTCGATATGGGGCACGTTCCGCTTTCAGGTGAAGCCGAAATGGGGCGCGGGCCCGCAGGCGGGCATTTCTATTAGGGCCGACGGCTCCGTGGACGGCAACGACGAATGACTCCGACGGTGTCTCCGTGTCTCCGAGGACGCCGCCGAAACTCCGATCCTCACGACGACGATGGCGACGACTCCGGCGACGATTCCGACTCCGACGACATTCGCGAACAAATCGATGATGCCGACTTTGGTGGTGACGACGACTTCAACAATTTT